TTGAAGATTCAAAAACTAGAGAGGGTGTCGTTGAAATTTTTACTACAAGTATTGTATATAACACACAAAAAAAATTAAAATTGATGATGTAATATAAATATTTCAAATATAATATAATTTCATTTCTTTTATTTTTACACAATTTTAAAACAATCTAGGCTCACTATTTTTCAAGAAAAAAATTAGAGTTTTCTCCATAAATAAGACACCCAAAAAATAACAACTTGTGCATGTGAATTGTATAATTCATGATCATATCTTAAAACTTGTAGTTAAATAAAATATAGTCAAAATCAATTATTGAACTCACTATCATGTCATAGTCCGACCTAAACACAATCTTTTATCGATTGTTTTATGGATTTAAAAAAAGGCAAACCACACACCACACCCCACACCATTGGATCCTAATCACCATCCAATTCAATATGAAAAAGAAAAGGAAAAAATCGAACAAGAAATTAAAATTCCAAAATTGGTTAAATCCATAGCCACCGGATCACCAATCTTGTTCATTACGCTAACAATATACACTAACCAACACACACATGAAATGTAAGAATATGATAGTGGAAGGAGTAATATGGAAAAAGGTTATAGTTGAGAGGGTTAAGATATAATTTATCCTTCATTTTATGTTCTCCAAAATCATTGGCGGAACAAGCAGTAAAATCACAGGGGCCCACCCAAAGGATGAGAACAAAGAATGAGCGGGATCATGACACAGTCCGAATTGTGCTGTCAAGAGTATTGTGAATGAATTATAAGCACTGCCGGGCACAAAGAGACAAATACCAAATCAACTCTGATCCCTTCCGCCCATAGTTTGGCAAAGCTGAATTCTGTATTTTACACACATTCATACGATTGAGTCCTTGAATTCATAATTTGGCAATGCATTTATTTCATACATTCTCTTGTACTCGAACTAGAATCTCTGACCCTCCTACACAATTTTTTGGGTGATGTTGTGTGGGTTGGACTTATATTTTGTGTGCTTTTTTTTTTTTTTTTTTTCATTTATGCCAAATGTATTTTATTTCATGTGACTTGATCTAGTTATATATAATTTCAACGTTGCATTTGATAGATGATAATGAAACATGAGAATTGAATAACTATTACTCTTAAATTACTCATTTCTATATTTAGTACGTAGTAATGAACATCCATTCCCATTATTATAGAATCCCTAATCCCACCATTATAGAACTTGTCATTCTTTAATATTTAATGGTATTTTCTATTCCTAACTACCATACCTCATTGTCACTCTCCCTATCAAACCACCATCACCACCAACCCCCCCCCCCCTTCTTCACCTATGGTCCAAGTTCATGGTCAGATCCAGGGTCGGGTTCCAACGTCTGGCTTGAGTTTATATCCAGAGTATGGGATCGAGATCAGCTCTAGGGTTGGATTTTGGATTCAGGGTCAAGTTCATAGTTCAAGGGTTTAGGGTTTGGGGCTAGGTCTGAGCGCAATGTCAGGCTTAAGATCAAGTTGACTTTGAGATTAGGTCCGAAGTCTAGGGTTGGGGTCAAGTCCAAGTCAGGGTTGGTTCCTGGTCTAGGGTCAAGCCCGAGTTAGGATTCGAGGTTAGATTTGGCTAGAGATTAAGAGGTTGGATATAAAAAATGGTTATATTATTTTAATGTCATCAAGAGTATTTTAGTCAAATTTAATTTATTAAAATTTTTTATTTATCCAATTATTTGAGTAAATTTTTAATTCTATTTCAACACTTAATCTTAATTGTTGCAAAATATTGAAATGGTAACATATATTCAATTCCACCACTATGTTTATTTCATTCTCACGTTCATTCCATTCGCTTGTTATTTAAAAGCATGAACATAATCCCCTCCGATTTATTCACTAACTTCGGTGTTAGTTTTGATTTGTTAGGATTAATAGTATTTTTTGTTATTAAAGCGTGCATGTTTTATAAGTTTGATCCACTCATTATATAATTTTGTCAATTTAATTCTTAAAATATTCAACTCATGTTTTAATAAAAATATATTCTAATTAAGCTAACGAGATTTTTACTTTGGAAGACAGGTCAAGCAAGCTTAGCCATTCCATTCAAATAGTTCTTGTTACATATCAACTTATTGCAAATATGAAACTATGAAAGCCTATCCATTAAGGCTGTAAATAAAACCAATTGAGCTGAGTGTTAATCTATAGGTGCTCGATTAAAAGATCATGATTTAGCTTCAAACCTCTGATCTTCATTCATTTTCTTTTGAAACTCGGGCATGGCTGAGCAAATTAAACGAACTAAGCTAGAGTTTGTGTTGGAGTCGAAACTCAAGTTTAGACATGTTTTTATGAGTTGAGATACGTAAGACAAGTCATTTCTCGAACTCACCTTATTTATTACACAAGAAGTTTAAAACTGAGTTGGAATTTGATTGGTTTTTCAAATGAAACATCAAACTCCTCCATCCCATAGCTCCTCAATTGTCTTGAAAGGCCCACAGGCTAAGATAAACTAGTCCTCCATTAGTCAACTCAATACTCGAGATCCTTAAAAACAACAACTCAATACTCAAGATCTTTTTAACAAATTCCTAACCTAGGGGCTATTTTGGCGACTAACCCGCTGCCCGTTAGTCAGTATGGAAATTCCTTGCACATAATTGAAGGAGCCATTTAAATGTAACTATAACACCACAAACTAGGTCTACCCGAGCTGATTATTGATATAAGAACACTTTTCGACCAAGTTTCATTAATTGATCAAAACAATACTGTGAATATTCTTATTTGGACATCTTGTTTGTGCTACTGGGCTTGCTACCGGAATACTATGTAGAGCCATTTCTGAGTTGGGGAGAAGAATATATATAGTTCTTTATACACATGATATTTCTTTCATTCTCATTTTTAGACAGATCACTTTTGGTCTTCCTTTGGGGGCGTACACATCTGATTTGGAATCTATTCATTGAGGAAATATTTGAAGTAATGGAATACCACGTCATCATCGTCCCGGATATCATCATCAAATAGATGGTTCACATACTACTATTAGAGTTAGAATATGAATATAAAATCTCAACGATCTATCACTCATTCTCGCATTTGAAGAAGCAACATTATCTAAAAAAAGAGGGATTCAAATGTGACAATGAGAATTTAATGCCTGAAATGGATAACAAGAACCAATTTAAAGGATTTGTGAAATGAAATTTCATGTTATAAATTAAAGTTAATTGAAAGTAAGAGAGTATTTGAAGGTTGAGGTTTTAGTTTGAGGGTAATTTATGTCATTTACCCTTTTTCCTAATATTTCAAACAAGTAATATACAGATAGTGATCGTAATCAATCATTGTGAGCGTATCTTAACAACTTTTTGACTGAACCGAAGAGTGAATTAGTCGAAGTGAATATAAGTTAATTCAAACACCTCCAACCGTTGAACCAAAAAAAAAAAAATCAATCATTTTGAGTGAAGGTTGTTAGTATGATGCAACCACTTGTCATTTATGTAGGGTAACGACCCTTTAAATTGTAGGCGTGGTCACAGTGGTGATGGCCACGGATGGAATAAGTGCCAAGCACAATATATAAAAGACACAGCACAAAGAAGACAAAAACAAGAAATATACAGATGAAGACGAGAATCGTGTAATCAAGATTTACTTAAATCATTCGCTTTATTACATCTGAGACGAGATTTTGAAGTTTGTCGCAATGCAATTGAATCTTACTCGCACAATTCTCATCATACTGCTATTGAAACGAACTTCACACTCACTTTGAGAAAATGCCAAAAACGCACTCCTCTATCATAAAAGTAAAATTAGGAACCAGTACAAGAGGATGGTACAGCTGCGTACATTTATTCCTCCCCAAACTCTGCAATGACGAGAGTCTCATGTACTCAGTATGCTTTTTTTTTAACAAGAGGAACTAGAAAAGGCCTGTATTGTAGAGGGGCACCTTTAAGTAAGCATCAACTACAAGCAGTCTGATCAAAGTTCTCCATCCCAAAGCTCCTCAATTGTATTGTAAGGTCCATGAACAGAGGTGTAATCCTTACCAAGACATGCTCTGCTTTGTGGGATTTCACTGATCTTTCTAAGACTCATCCTCACTCAATGCCCAATTGAATATCTCAAGGTTCTGCTTCATTCTCTCTTTGTTGAAACTCTTCACCAATACACCAAGGCCTTGCTCGTGAGCCCATCTCAGACAAATCTGCATTGAAACCAAGTATTGAGCTTCTGTTAATGAAAGGTGATAATTTTCAAGACGACCCGAATCCAAAAAGGACATAATCGACTATCACGAATAATAAACCGATCGGACTAGTTTCACTTAGGAATAATCGATTTCGTCATGACAATCTCATTTGATGGTATTGTACAAAGAAAATTTCTGATTTTCTTTTTGTATGTTCTTCATTTTTGATCTAGTATTATACGAGTTGTGAACGATTTTTGAAATAACATAACCCAAACATGACCCGATTTTTTTTTTTTAGTTTAATAGTAAAAGGTGTCCAGACTAACTTCTGTGCAGCTCGAATAATCTCCTTTCCGGTTTGGTTAAAGTAATACACACAGGGACTAGAATATTCAAGAGGGTTAAATCCCTCGTGACTTGGCCCAAAGGGATTGCTAAATTCAAATTCAAAACGTATGGGTTTATAATTTTTCTCTATTACCACTTGAGCTACCAAGGCGGTAATTATCATCCTCACCTCTTGATGTGAACAGTTGAAGCAAAGTAAAAAAACCAAAGACAATGTTGGGTGCACCTGAGGAACAGTCTTTCCTCTAGCCTTTGCAATTTCCTTTAGCACCTCACTCTCCATAACTCTGTTGGTGCCATAGAAGGTTCCTACAGCTCCCAAAACAGCATAAGCCACTACAAGAACTCCATTGTCTTTACATAACTCTATCAGCTTCTTTTGTTGCCAACATGGGTTCACTTCCACCTTTCAAAATGAACAGCTTCACTACCATTCCTTTCATTCAGACAAAACAAGAATGGGGAAAATAGCCAAAACTCACTTGATTAACAGCTGGGGGAATTTTCGCGACTGCAAGGACATCAGAGAGCTTCTTGCAAGAGAAATTGCTAACACCAATGGACTTGGTGAGGCCAAGTCTCTGGCACTCTTCCATGGCCGCCCACACAGACTTATAATCCATGGGAAGAAAGTCCTCTTTCTTAATTGGGTACTCATAGTTCCCTGGCGTTGAACTCACAGGCCAATGTATGAGATACAGATCAATATAATCTACATTAAGATTCCTGTAAAGGTCAACATTAGACTATCCAATGTATGCTACTAGAAAATGATGAACGATAAACTTTCAGAATTAAGGCAATATAGATGGAAATCTGTGTTACTTTAAGGTCTTTTGAATGGCAGGAAGAACATGTTCGCCATGAGAATCACTGCACCATAGCTTGGAGGTGATGAAGAGCTCGTCTCGTGATTTAATAATGCCACACTGAAGTGCTGCTGCCATAGCTTCCCCAGTTGGCTGTTCTGAATTGTACAGTGCAGCTGTATCAAAATGCCTGTAACCGAGCTCAATCGCCAGTGAGACGGCCTGATAAATAGTTTGCGAGTCTACAGGGAGATCGGCTGCTGTGCCTAAGCCCAATACAGGCATTCCCCTGCAGCCAGAGCTCAGTTTAATATCAGGCATACCCATCTTGTAGTAGTAGCAGTAGTTTCAATACAGAAATTATGACATCCTTAGAAGAGGATTTAGGTTCTTTCATACAATTTTCCCTCAGATCACCCATCGTGTATCGGTGTTAGACACCCAATTACATATAGTGTGTCCTATGTAAATTCACAATACATGTGTGGAATTGAAGGAAAACTTTAAGCAATAATATTAGACCCACCAACCTCTCTCTAACCTCTTTCAAGACCCAACTTCATTGTATTCATACAACACAATACTATTGTAAAGAAGTAGTGCAAGTGAAGATTGTTGTAATCTTGCTAAGCTTTTGGGGAGAAGATAAGCCATCACAGTCCTCCTTTCAAGGCAAATTTTGAGGCCTTTTCATTTGTTGTTTTCTGGGCAAAGGAATCTGTCCCTTTCCTTTGATGTCTCTATTGATGTTGATTGTTTTGGATGCACACTCCCAGGGTAGACCCCATGAATGAATCTTTTTGTCTCGGTTCAATCAAGAACAACACTAAGGGACTGTTCGGTAAGAGAGTATGGGGCCTGGTAAGATGGGTTTCCAAAGGACTCTTATATTCTATGAATGATTTGAAAATTCAGTTTCAAGTTTCAAATCCAGCTCATAGTTGGCCCGAAAACTAAACTCATGATCATGAGTTTCGTCAAACCTAGGGGAGGGGTGAGTTTAGAAAGATGGGTAAGGGGTTAAGGATCTAAAAGATAATTATACCCTTTAACATGTGTATGAATTGGATTAATCAAGAGTAAAATAATTATTTATATGACAAATAATTGTTAATACTTATAATATATTCGTGGGTCTTATATATGTATGTGTTACATATCAAACATGGATATGAACCGAATTAAATATTGAATCCCATTTTTACAAAAAGAAATTTGAATTTGAAAGGATTTAGAGAACTCAATCCAAACCCTTTTCCAAAATTCATCCAAACAAGGCCTAAAAGGGTGTTTGGATTGTGGGTTAACGGGGGTTATCACATGGAGGATGAGATAAAAACTAATGGGGCCCATTTATATCATGTTTGGGAAGTGAATTTGACGGTTGGACAGCCCGATAGGAGTTACTCCTAGCTCGCAATCTACAGATCATTTAAACATGACTACATGGGTTTTTTATAACCAACCTGGGTGGTGGGTTAAAATTCTATCAGATAGGATTGGTTTTGCAATTATCATTCTGCCCGTCTTTTTCTTGTTTTTACCTCTGGTTTTTGTGCAAAACTCTAACCTCTCTCTCTCCGTCCTGCAACTCCACCATGGATAGAGAAAATAAACAAACTTCTCCTAAAGAATCATCAACAGAAAACACATCAACTTGAGAGCTTCGGTTCGATTCATCAACATCTTCATCGGTGATTCCATGGAGAGACCGACTTGAGCTCTACCTCAAGAAATGATCGACACCACTGTCGATCTTACTGTGGTGATGTTGAAAAATACTTTGGTTATTGTTTCTGATTTTAGAAGACCAACAAAGAAGATAATTTTGTATTGTTGATAAAAAATATTTTAGAAATTTTGTACAGCAAGTCGGTCACCATTGCGCCGGAGGATGTCTAAATCAGAGCGTTAGTAACGGGAAATCCTTTTTTTTAATCTATTTTCTTGTGTTGGTATTTTGTTTTAATTTTTCTAAGTTGGTGTATATATATATATATATATATATATATATATATATATATATATGAGGGATAACTTGTACCTGAAGATACAGTGTATTATGAATGTTTAAGTACAGTACAATGTGAATGATTTTAAAAATAATGTTAATGATCGTTAGATGAATCTATAAGAGATTGTCAAATGAATTTATTAAAATTGTCTTATTTTATATATATACGCACACACACATATATATTTGATAGGATGAGTTTTAGTCAAATTTGGGATTAGATAGGTTAATAATAGAATAGTCAAATAGCAACTCATGATTGTGAGCCTCACAAAAATGAAAAATTACTTGCCAAACATTAAATATGACAGGATATGACATTACATCCGACTAGAAATGACAGTGAACTGAAGCAGAGGCAGGAGGTATAGTGTCCTTTCTCGTGCCCACTTAAAAAAATTTCGTCCATCCTCGATTTATTCCGTTAACAGGTATAGTTTTCATCTTCATTCCCTTTTGCAAATAAATTTATAATCCCAGCCCCCGCCCCGTCTCCTACCTTCACCTCCGCCCCCACCCCCTGTCCACCTTACCCGCCCAAGCCCATGCCCAATTCCAAGTTCAAACCAACATAATCCAAAAATTTGAATAAATCTAACATTCTAAATAATTCAACATAATTATAGAATATTATAACTTAATTAAAAGTTTGTCATTTATAACATAATATAATTTAAACATTGTCTACAACATAATCCAACATAATATAATTAAAAGTTTCTCTCTTGCAAATTCATCACAATATCATGCAACACAATATAATGTAACATAACTTAATCCAACATAAAAAAAATATAAAAACACAAAGATCTATACTTTTACAATCCAAAATTATGAAAAAAAAATTAAAAAATAAAATAATTTTTAAAAGAAAAATCATTCAATAATATGTAGATTTATATTCACAATAATATGTAGATTTATATTCACAGTAACATGTATATATGTGTCTTTTTTAGCAAACAAATCTCTTAATTTTTTGATATATTTGACCTTTAAATCTTGGTCTTCAATTTTACTAATTAAATCTATTAGAATATGTTCTTCCTCATTCTGTTTGGTTATTACCCTAACAGTTTTACAGAGGCAACTTTTTTGCAACCTATTTTAATTTTAGGTTCACTAGGGTTACTAGATACTGAATGATAATCTGAAGAACTTTCAGAGCTACTTAAGTTATCTGAACCTTCTTCACTATTGGGAAAATTGTTTAACCTAAAAATGTTAAGAATTTTCTCTTCATCTTCTTGGGTTAAATTTAATCTTTTTACTTGTTTTTTAACTGGACAATCTAGGCTTTTATGACCTTTTTTGCCACAATTATAACATTTAATACCTGTTTCGTTTTTACTATCTTTTTCCCTGGATTTTTTCTTATAAGTCTTATGATTATAAGGTTTTCTGGGTTTGTTACTTTTATATATAATAATAATAATAATAATAATAATAACAATAACGGGAAAAACGAGGCGAGGGGAAGCAGGACAAAGCAAGGTGGGGATAAGTGTCGGTCCATCCCTGCACGGGTTTATACGGGTATCTCCGTATACGTCCACTGTCTAATACGTATAATCCATCTCCGATCCAAACACAATAAATTTAGACAAAAACCCATTTTAACCCGATCTACTGCATCCTTACATCCAACCCCTGCAAGTGGGTGATTAGGTTGGGCATGGATAGGAATGAACACAAATTAGATATTTTATTCAATCCTTTCGAGGCATCCAAACACACCCTAATGGTAGGGGTGTTCATGGGCTAGACTAGGCCCACAAATTTTTTTTCGGGTCTGACCTGGGTAGTATAGGCCCAAGTCCATACCCAAGTGAGTTATCGGATGGGTCGGGCCGAAATTCGTATAGGGGTAAGCTACCTGCAGTTCAACCCATGAACTTATTAGGCTAGATTGTTGGGCGAGTCTGCTCACGGACTTTTTTATATACAACTTCATTTAAAAATAATAAATATTTTTGTAATTTAATATTTGTGTAAATTATATTTTTGAATAAAAAATATAGTCAAAATGGATAAAAATAAAATAATGAACAATTTTATTTTTAATTAGAGAATGAACTACATCTAATTAGGGAATAATTTTATTTTTGACATATACTTACTTATCTATCATTTGCAATATTCTACCATTTAAAACTTGTATACTTAATACATAGAAAATAAAATAAAACATTATTTATAGTATTTAAATTTTTAAAACTTCAAATTTCGACATTGTTAGACTTATTTTAAAGTTTCAAATTTAATAGTTTAAAAGTATAACTTTCTTTCAAAGAAATGGTGGGTGGGCTATGTGGGCAGATTGGGCTTGGTGGGCAGGCTCTTAGGTAGGACTTCGGGCCAGATAATGAGTTTGGGGACAAACTCAAGTCCTTTATTAAAAATATTGGGCTTGCGCTCGGGCGGGCTCTTGGGCCGGACTTTGGGCCGAGTAATGATTTTTGGGGCAAACTTAAACCTTCTTTTTAAGGATATTAGACTAAGGCTCGGGCGGGCCAACTATCAAGCCTATTTTTTTCGGGTTGAATAGCGAGACATGTGAGTAACTTGGCCCATAGACACCCCTACCTAAGAGATTGTATCACTGTTTAGACATGATATATCAAATCTTATGAATATTCAATATATCGAGATATAGCAATCTGGATACACCAAGAATGTGTCACATGGCCTAAATTCAAAAAGGCAAAAGATGATTAACCACTAGCGTATTTTTTTAAAAAAGGATAGTAATTGATTGGAAATAAAAATTGTGGAAAGCGACTATAAAAAGACATAGTAAAAAAGATGAAAAGGATACTCAAAAATTCACAAAACCCATGATTTGAACATTTTTAAGAATAATTTTAAGTTAATTTTAAAAAATAATTACTGCTGTATTTAAGATTATTAACCAATATTTTCTATAACCAAACTTTGGATTGAATTAATAAAAATTTTGTTCTTTTATTAGTTGTCTCCATTGTGTGTTTATTGGGATATTTTCGTCCATCTCAACAGAATTTAGAGCAACAATCAAACAACTAAGAAACAATTAAGAACATAAAATCACCTCATTAATTTAAAACCCCCTCAATGAACATGATAGTCTTTACAGATAAAAGAATCAACTAAAAATATAGCCTTGTACCCAAAAGGAAAAAAAAAAAAAAAGGTAAATATACCCAAAATCGAATACTCAATCTAAAACCACCTATGATATTCCTGACAAACGGCTGACCAAAGGCAAAGAAGAGACCTTCTTCTGAAATGGGCTTCGTATCATTTCTTCTGGGCAAGTTTGCTGCTTTGGTATTTGACTTTGATCCATTTAACACCAACAGTTGCTCCTTCCTTAACTTTCTGCATGCCTGTGGAAGCCATGGCTTTGGATTTCTCAAACTTCTCGCCGACCCTACTCGAGAGTTTGGGTCGGTCACCACCGAGCCTCTTGGGTTGCTGAACATGAACCGGGTTTGACTCTCCGTTGGCCCAGGGGTTCACCTGTGAACCGTTTTCCTCCATTATGTGGGTTTACAACCGTGTGTCTTGAGAGAGAGAGAGAGAAGCTTCGGTATAAAAGTCCTTAGGTGTTGCAAGGCATTTTATGTAGAACCATAGTTGTTAGCCTGTCTGTCTGAACATAATTTTTTTTTTTGTTTGATAAATAGTCTGAACATAAAATTTGGTCAAAACATCAATGTGAAAACAAAGGTACCTCATAGTTTGTACGGGAATGGGTCAATGGAATGGTGTAATCTAGAAAGGGCTAATCTAAAACCCAATTCAATGTGGGTTGAAGTATTTAAAAGTTAGGTACAGATTTCCTATTCAGAACCAATTTAAAGTCAAAAGTCAAGCGGTAGTTGTTTCGAATCTTAGTAATTTTTTTAAGTCAAGTCACGGAAGGCGAATACATTAGTCTTAGCGTGGATGATCTGTCTTTCATCGGATTGAAAAGATAATTAGTTGAGGTATACGTAAATTGATCTGAACATCTTTGACCTTTAAACCAAAAAAAAAGTTTGGAATTCTCAATAGTTAATCCGAATTAAATTCAAGTTTAACCCTATTTGAACCTAAATTCTAATTTGAAATGAGTAATTCAACAATTAAATTCGAGTTTAACATGAATTCTATTTGAACCCAAATTTTAATTGTATGCAATTTTTGAGTTGATGGATAAAGATTTGCATTTGTGTCGAGATTGAACTTGGGTAAAAAGTTTACAATTTGAGTTGAACTTGATTGACCTCTCAATGCATCCTATCCGTTTTTGAGTTGATGGATAAATCAATCGATCCGTTTGATTTATGGGGTGATAATGAGTATTTGTAATTTATGTTGAAATTATAAGTCTAACAAATATGTGATTGTAACGATTTCTTGTTAAAAAATCCAAAAATAAGATCGTTAACTTTGAATTATCTAAAATTAAAAGAAAAGATCCTCGAATAACACAAGTTTCACACACATATAGAATTGCTTTTATATAGTACTAGTGTGAATATAGGCAATATAAGTGGTTGGCCTTTACAAATTGCCAAGAAATGAGGGTGTACATAGCTAGACGGTTACAATTCAACAAGATTTTAAATTAAATGCAAATGAATTTGGAAGTTTTGAATATGACTGATACTGTTGTCGTTGTTGTTGTTGCGGTTGGTGACTTGCACATCTAACACAACCGTGGAAATTACTCTGCAGGCACGCGTCAATACAATCTTCCTCGATCATATCATATTAAAAAAAACTCAACCTTTAACTCTTCTACGGATTCATATGATTTTAAAAACTCAACCTTTGACCCTTCTTGGGATTCATATGATTAAAAAAACAAAAATCCAAAAAAAATCTAACCTTGACTCTTCGTACGCGTTACAGTACGTGAAAAAAAAAAAAAAAAAGCCGGCTAATTTGACTTTCTCTCTTAAAAGTTGTTTTTATTTTTAATATGCATCCTCAAGTATTAAAAATTTAATTTATATCCTTAAAATTATGAATTAATAATAATGTTAACTCAAACTTTAGTTCAATTTTATATTATAAAGTAAAACACATAAAATATAAGTATTTCAGACATGAAAATGAAATAGGTTCATCGCACCAGACTTATATTATTATTAATTCATAACATTTAAAATATAAATTAAAATTTTTAAGATTTAAGAATATAAATTAAAATATCTTTGGAGTAGAAAGTGAAATTAACCCAAACAATAAAACTAGGCGGCGGAACCCTTCAAAACGATCCAATGGAAAATTTTCAACACGACAATGCCTGACAAAGACTTCCAAGCCCACGTTAATATCAAACACGTAACAAATAATTTTGAGATTGTTGTTTATATTAATTAACTTGTCTCTCCATTCGATCCAAAATCCAAAACTCCCCTCTTTCTTTTTTTTCATCTTCAAGGTTTCAGTCACCGTGACAACGAATTCACACAACCATGAATACCCGGAGCTTCTTATCTTTGCTTTTTCTCTCTCTTTTCAACACCAACATATCTGCTCATTTCTTTCCCAACATATCTTCAATACCCCCTTCTTTCATCCCCAATACCACCGCCGGCGACTGGGCAAGTTTTAACAAGCTTCTGGGCTGCCACACCGGCCAGAAAGTCGACGGCGTAGCCAAACTCAAGAGATACTTTCAGTACTTTGGTTATTTAAACAGCTCCACCAACTGCACAGACGATTTCGACGACGTTTTCGAGTCAGCTCTCAGAACTTACCAGCTCAACTTCAATCTCAACGCCACCGGCGAACTCGACGGACCAACGCTTAAAAAACTCGTATCACCCAGATGCGGAAACGCAGATATAATCAACGGCACAAGTTCGATGAACTCCGGGAAAGGACCGTCTGCGACTCCGATCCACCTTAGCACTGTCTCTCATTACACTTTCTTCCCCGGCACACCACGGTGGCCGGCTAGTAGGACCGAATTAAGCTACGGGTTTTCGCCAGATAATCAAATCTCCGACACTGTAAAAAACGTGTTCTCAGGCGCCTTTGAAAGGTGGTCGGAAGTGACGCCGTTGACTTTCACGGAGACGACTTCGTTTTACACGGCCGACATCAAAATCGGCTTCTTCGCCGGCGACCACGGAGATGGAGAGCCGTTTGATGGGGTTTTGGGGACATTAGCTCATGCGTTTTCGCCACCGAGTGGGAGGCTACACTTAGACGACGACGAGAACTGGGTGGTCGACGGCAACTTTATCGATGCTCCGTCGGGGACATCCGCCGTCGATTTGGAGTCTGTGGCGGTCCATGAAATCGGGCATTTACTGGGTTTGGGTCATTCTTCGGTTGAAGAAGCGATAATGTACCCGACTATATCGTCGGGTTCCCGAAAGACTGAGCTTGCCAACGATGATATAGTGGGGATCCAGGTTTTATACGGGGCTAACCCGAATTATAATGGGACATCCACTTTAACTCCGGCACAGAGAGATACAAATGGGGCCCACTTTTTGGGTCCATTTTGGGATCTTTGGTTTTTAATATCACTTGGATTTGTGTTATTTCTTTTGTAAATATAATTTCAATTTTTGTTTTTTTTTTTCAATTATTTTGTATTTATTATTCACAGACCATAGAATTGAACCTGGTGATTATATACCAGTTGTGCTTTTTCAGATATAGTGGTATAGGGTACATATGTGAGATTACTTGTATAATTTCCATATTTTTATCGAATATTCGTTTATTATATATTGGTTATTTTTGAATTTAAGTATTTTTTTTTAAATTAAGATTTATGATAGGAATTGTAAAAAATGATTGATTTTGGAATCGATACATCTTATATGATTGCGTACATTCTTTTTTTTTTTTTAAATTAGTAGATGTGTATGAATTTCCCCTAAATTGTAGATTATAATGTTGAACGTAAAAAACAATGTTGGAATATTGAACCTAATTATTTTCTAAACATGATTTATAAATTTCATTGAAAATTTATGCGAAATTAGTAAGTTTATATTTAAATTTAAGAGATGCGGATGATAATCAGATAGAGGTATTGGATCCACTAAAGAAAATGGATCGATATAATTCAAATTAGACTTGTCATGAACTCTATTTAATGTGGTTTATAAATTGTTGTTGCATAACACCACATATTGGCAACTCTAACCGTAGGCGGGAAAGTCTGGCCCAAAATACCAGGAATGGGTCCGGCCCATATTTACTGCTTCTCCAATTCGTAGACTGATTCCTAAGGAGGCAATGTACGTTGGTTTGGATCTCATCATGGCCTATAGGGTTGTAATTTGGGTGGGCTAACCCAATTTAACTTAAAAAAAAAAAAAGGCTTGAATTAAAATTTTAAAAAAATTTTGGTTGAACCTGAGTTCAAAAACTTTAACTTAAATTGAATTTAGACACCACGGGTTGAACCCGAAATTTTTTTAAAAAAAAATATATATAGGATTTTGGCTTTCTACCTCTCATGCACCTTTCGGCCTCTCTCTGTCTCTCAGCTTCTCTCTTATATTCCGTTTAGTAGGGAGGATGGAAAATAAGAAGGATAGAAAGTAGGAGAGATACACTTTCTATCCCTCAAGAATGGAAAGTAGGAAAGATACATTTTTCTTCCTTTGTATTTGGTTGGATAAATGAAAAATAAAAATGACTATTTTTTTTGGTGATGGTTAAGATTAGGGTTGACAATCGAGTTGTGTCGTATCAGATTGGTGTTGAGTCATTACAAGTTTGTGTCGAATATTAGTCAAACATAACTTAACTCATTTAACTAATTGTGTCATATCGAGTTACGAGTTGACATGTTTATTTTCGTATCGAGTTCGAATCGTGTTATCGTGTTAAGTCAAAATTTTTCACCCTTAGTTAAGATGGAAAAAATATTTTCTTTAATTTAATTTAATTTATTTTTATATTTATTTTTAAAATTTTTTAATATATATATACACACACATATTTTACCATTGTATTTTTATATGAAATTAATGTATACATAATATATGTATATATAAAATGATATATAGACAAATAAGATACATCTCAACACAAATAATTAACTTTTCATCCACTTTTCTTTCGATTTTGGAGGGATTGATTTTGGTGAGTTGAAAGAAAAGTTAATTCATTCACTTTTCCATCTTTCCTACTTTCCTTCCTTACTAAACATGGTATTTTATTTATCTTTCTAACTTTTCATCCTCTCACTTTTTCATCGTACCAAACGGAGCATTACTTTCTATCAGCCTCCCTCTCACTCCTTCTCAGCCTTGATTTGTGCTGAAGCCTTGGTGGCTATGACATCTCTGATCTAGTGGCTATGGCGTCGAAGATGGACAGTGGTTGCAACGGCGGCCTAACCTAATTTAGGGCCCTAAGCAAAAATGTTATGTGAGACACTATAAATATTTATTAAGTAATAATAATAATACTAAATACTTACTAAAATATGTTTATTTACAAATTATTTGTTTTGTCTTTTGAGATATAACATACTAATTTAAATTTTATAAATAAAAATTGTGTTAATTGAATTCAAATACGGAGATCAAATATAATGATATATACTATTTGTTTAAAATAAAAGAGAAACATAATTAAAAATTAGTTTGACAGGTAAAATAATTTTTTTTCTAAATGTATATAAAAATAAGAATTTATATAAGTTGAGTAGTCCTAAAATAAATGAGACATCTATAATATAAAATAGGTAAACTTCAATAAGTTCATCCAACAGTCTCAAATAGATTTTATTTAACGGTCACCAAAATCTCCCTCAAAACCATTTAAATTGAATTTTCCCCTAAAATCCATCACTTCTTACTCCTAGTTGTTAGATATCATAGAAAAAAATGAGTTGTTTTTATAAATAACAAAGATAACTAGTGCAGTGCTTCTACTTACTTTATTTTATAGTAATCTTGTGCATTGTAAACAAAGTCATTAAAATATGATCTCAAATTTAATTTATACAAATGTAAAACTATTATTCGTACCTATTATACGATAAACAATTGATTTTAATAATAAGACTGCAAAGTTATAATATGTATAATATAAATATCGAGTGAGATAAAAAATAAGTTGAACTTTAATGCCCTTTTGAAATAGATTCTAATTTTTTTTACAAAATAATGTTAATTGCGCTTAATTTGAGGACTAAGTACATTAGATAAATAGTGAATTTTGTTTAAAGTTAGCACTTATTATTAATTCAATGATTAAAATATATTTAGTATTTAAATCATATTCTAAAATTTAAATTATATATATTTTTATTTTATTTTGGAGCCACAAATTTTTCTTTCAATTTAGGGACCCTAGGCAATAACCTAAGTGACCTAAAGGTTGGGGCGACAATGAGTGGTTGTGGTAAAGTGACGATGGTTGTGGGTATGGTGTGGTGGTTGTGGGGGCAGTGGTTGTGGTGGCGATGGGCAATGGCAGTGGTGGTGACTATGATATTTTGGTTTAATGTCTTTGTGTTATGTTTTAATTGAGTTATATAATTTTATTTGGGCTGATTTGTAACTTGAATTCAAACCCAAAATCAACCCAAATTAAGAAACTTGAATTCAACCCAAGATCTCCTGAAATTAACTTGGACAATACTTGGGTTGAGTTTGAGTTCGGGTTGAATATTATATACACAGGATTGACCTCTCAACCTAAAGTGAGAATAATATATTTGGCGGCTGAAACCCATTTCTTAAAAGAAATTGCCCCCAATTCTAAGGGAGCTCAAGTAGTAACAAGAACGAGTTGTAAACTCAGACGTATTGAATTCAAATTTTAAAAATTTTTAGGGAATGAATATCCTAATTTCAGTGTAGATGGTTTATCTTTGACCAGACCGCAGAAGAGATTAGTTGATGTGCACATAAAACTGATCCCAGACAGATCCATAGTTTAGAAGAGTTTAACTAAATTGAGAAGGAGATTAATCAAAATGTACATAAATTAGTTGCAGCTAGATTTATAGTTTAGATGAGTTTAGAAGCAAGCCATTTTATTTGAACCATAACCAAAGTAAGTAAGTAACGTCATCATCTCAACCATTGTGGCCAAAATCTATTTAATATTAGGGTAGCATCGTGTTGAGCGGGCTGGGCTAGACTCAGCTTGCCCAAAAGCAAGGGTGACTAACCCTAATGGCCCCTAAGTGAGTTAACCATGGGGTCATCTTCATTGTTGATCCATGAAAAAGACCCAAGACCCATCTTCGAGACAGTTGGCTTACACACACGGCCTGTCAAAGACCTGGGCCAAACCATGATCCATGGACCAAATGCCAATACTTGATTATTTTGTGACATCCATGCAAGTGCCTGAAGAAATGTACATTGATTTATTTATTTTTCTCTCTTTTAGATCACCCAATGTTCAGTATTTCATTATTTCGTTAATTCTAAATCTGTCCAAGGAAAAAAATCTTACTATTATGTTAATGTCAAGATGATATTATCATTATTTGATCCTAAGGGTAGGTGGCTCATAATGTCATATTCGAGAAAGGCTTCTGGTGGTCATTATCAATGTGGTCCAACACTAACATGCATCAAAGGAACAAGACTTGCAAGTTGCAGTAGAAATTTTTGTTTGGTAATGACTAAAAAAGCTTGAAGAGTACTCCAATTTGACCAATTTCTGCGGCATGCATATTGTGTCTGATATCGTTCCCGTCTTCCGTATTATAACCAAATCAAATAAAGGAAACAGATAATGAAATGATGAATTCAACCGACCTTTAGTTAGTTTTCATTGAATGTAATGGAGAGAAGACGAAGGTACTTTACAGTTGTTGCCCTAGTGGCTTCGTGTTGTAGCAATCAAAACACTCTTGCTGGCTTTATCTTTCCAGAGGTTTCACTCACGCCACAGCCTCAAAGTAAATATCTATCAAAATATTATGCCTCTTTTAAGCTGGATTCTCCACTTATAAAATCATAATAACGGCCTCCAATACTTAGATAACTCCATCAATTCATGTGTATGTATCCATTCTCTCTCATACCTATTTTTTATTTTATTTTTATTCATTCAATTTTAAATTGTGTGATGAAAAAGAAAAAAAATAAATTTTAAATGTTGCACTATTAATATTCGATTTTTGAATATTACAAAGTATTTTGGGTTATTGCTATTATTTGATAAATTACTGTCTAATCCCCTTCATAAAAATATATTGAACCAACAATTACTCTAAAAACTTAAATTATTAGAGCAGTTATGACTTAAACATTAATATATTTCAACACAAACCAGATTTTAAGCTAAGAACAAGTGAATTATTCATCATCATTTGGTAAAGCCATAAAAAAAACAAAAAAAAAAAGAACCATAATTTTCACTATTGATATTCAATGCATTAGATTTTGACATATTATTTGAGATAAAATATTTGATAAACAAATTTGAGATACATAATTTTATCTTTCTATCTCATACCCACGAAAAAAGAAACATTGATATCTAAATACATTTTGGACCATAAAACAAAATAAAATTATATGATTTCGAAAATAATAAGATAATTTTTTGTGAAATTCTTAAT